TGTTTCACTCCCTCGCTGATAGGTCTCTAAGTTTCAGTCTCTGGCTGAAAAGTCTCCCCTATTTCACTCCCTCGCTGACAAACTTCCCCTATTTCATTCCCCCGATGAAAATCTACCCTGGTTCGATCTCTCGCTAAAAGTATCCGCTATATAACTCCCTCGCTGACAAGTCTCCTCTCTTTCACTCCCTCGCTGACAAGTCTTCCCTATTTCACTCCCTCGCTGACAAGTTTTCCCTATTTCACTTCCTCGCTGACAAGTCTTACCTATTTCACTCCCTCGCAGCCAATTCTCACCTGTTTCACTCCCTCGCTAACAAGTCTCCACTATTTTACTCAGGCGCTGACAGATCTCCCTGTTTCATTGTCTCGCTGACAAATCTCCCTGTTTCACTGCCTCGCTGACAGATCTCCCTGTTTCGCTGCCTCGCTGACAAATCTCCCCGTTTCGCTGCCTCGCTGACAAATCCTGTTTTGCTGCCTCGCTGACAAATCTCCCTTTTTCATTAACTCGCTGACAAATCTCCCTTTTTAACTGGCTCGCTGACAAATCTCCATGTTTCATTGTCTCGCTGACAAATCTCACTCTTTTACTGGCTCGCTGACAAATCTCCCTGTTTCATTGTCTCGCTGAAAAGCCCACTTTACCAATGACTTTTGTGAGGATCACATCAGTCTAGCGGCCATCATATCTTCCCGTCTGATCATAGGCCATTTTTTCAAATGCCCTGAAAGCGGAATTTAACAAATTAAATTACGTTGACCCGGTCGACTCAGACGAAAATATGTGTGAAATTTCCTTGGAAGTAAAAGTGACCGATATGAAACATGCAGCGTCATGTATTTGGCGCAGGTCATCTGTAAGAGCGGTGTCAACAACTAGATAACTGTTAAACCCCCTTGAGGTAACATAAGCTCTCTCACTGTCTGACTGATAAACCTCTTGAGATAACACAAGCTCCTTCACTGTCTGACTGATAAACCTCTTAAGGTAACACAAGCTCTCTCACTGTCTGACTGATAAACCCCTTGAGGTAACACAAGCTCTCTTACTGTCTGACTGACAAACCCCTTGAGGTAACACAAGCTCTCTTACTGTCTGACTGACAAACCCCTTGAGGTAACATAGGCCCTCTCACTGTCAAACTGATAAACCTTTTGGGGTAAAACAAGCTCTCTCACTGTCTGACTGATAAACCTATTGAGGTAACATAAGCTCTCTCACTATCTGACTGATCAACCTATTGAGGTAACATAAGCTCTCTCACTATCTGACTGATAAACCTATTGAGGTAACATAAGCTCTCTCACTATCTGACTGATAAACCTATTGAGGTAACACAAGCTCTTTCACTGTCTGACTGATAAACCTTTTGAGGTAACACAAGCTCCCTCATTGTCTGACTGACAAACCTCTTAAAGTAACACAAGCTCTCTCACAGTCTGACTGATCAACCTCTTGAGGTAACACAAGCTCTTTCACTTTCTGACTGATAAACCTCTTAGGGTAACACAAGCTCTCTCACTGTCTGACTTATAAACCTCTTTAGGTAATACAAGCTCCCTCTCTGTCTGACTGACAAACCTCTTAAGGTAACACAAGCTCGCTCACTGTCTGACTTATAAACCTCTTTAGGCAACAAAAGCTCTCTTACTGCCAGACTGATCAACCTCTTAGTATAACACAAGCTCCCTCACTGTCTAACTGATAAACCTCTTAAGGTAACACAAGCTCCCTCACTGTGTAACTGATAAACCTCTTGAGGTAACACAAGCTCTCTCACTGTATGACTTGAAAGACCTCTTGAGGTAACACAAGCTCTCTCACTGTCTAACTGATAAACCTCTTGATGTAAAACAAGCTCCCTCACTGTCTGACTGATAAACCTCCTGAGGAAACACAAGCTCCCTCACTGTCTGACTGATAAACCTCTTGATGTAACACAAGCTCTCTCACTGTCTGACTGATAAACCTCCTGAGGAAACACAAGCTCCCTCACTGACTGACTGATAAACATCTTTAGGTAACACAAGCTCTAGCACTGTCTGACTGATAAAACTCTTGAGGTAACACAAGCTCCCTCGCTGTCTGACTGACAAACCTCTTGAGGTAACACAAGCTCTCTCACTATCTGACTGATAAACCTCTTGAGGTAACACAAGCTCTCTCACTGTCTGACTGATCAACCTCTTTAGGTAACACAAGCTCCCTCACTGTCTGACTGATAAACCTCTTGAGGTAACACAAGCTCTCTCACTGCCTGACTGATCAACCTCTTGAGGTAACACAAGCTCCCTCACTATCTGACTTATAAACCCCTTGAGGTAACACAAGCTCTCTCACAGTCTGACTGACAAATCCCTTGAGGTAACATAAGCTCTTGCACTGTCTGACTGATAAACCTCTTTAGGTAACACAAGCTCCCTCACTGTCTGACTGATAAACCCCTTGAGGTAACACAAGCTCTCTCACAGTCTGACTGACAAATCCCTTGAGGTAACATAAGCTCTCTCACTGTATGACTTGAAAGACCTCTTGAGGTAACACAAGCTCCCTCACTGTCTGACCGATAAACCTCTTGAGGTAACACAAGTTTTCTCACTGTCTGACAGATAAACCTCTTGAGGTAACACAAGCTCTCTCCCTGTCTGACAGATAAACCTCTCGGGGTAACACAAGCTATGTCAAAGCCTGCTAACAAGTTCTGCCGAGCATTCCTACCTGTCGACATCTCATGCAGCTCCTTCCAGTATTATTGATCTTACCTCTAAATATTGTTTTTTATGTCTGCTTGATCTTGTTCTTTTTGATTCCAAAAGAAATTCCTTGTTGGACAACAGGTTTGTCTCACTGACTGCCTTATCCGGGACTCGTGTCTGTTGTTTTCTTCGCCTCTTCGTGGACTGAAATCTCACATTAGTTGCTTCAATGTAAGAATGATGAATCTTTTATGCACGGCAGGCGAACGCCGTATTGTCATTCTTTGCGATGTAATTGCGAATTAAATTGTAAAACATTTATGTTTTGTATTTTTAAAGTTGAGGATATTTAAAAAATGCGGATGTGCCATTCTATGAACAGAAGAGGAAAACATAATTTTTGTGACAACGTCGTTTTACAAGCACCTCGCAGGGCTGAGAAAACCGTAGTTTGGAACAAAAACAGTCTGAGAATGACCCCGCCTCCACCCTCCACCCTCACCCTCCAGCACCCCCTCCCCCTTGTGCTGTTCTGAGTATGTAGTCAATCTAACTCACAACTATAATTTCACGTCAAAGTCCAAAGGCCAGCCATGACACAGTTTCAGAAATAGAATTTCTGCCATCACTTGTCTATGAATGTGACCAGCTCTGTACCCTCATCTCGCTGACAGGAGTGATCGTACAGATAACAGGTGAGTATTTCACTGGGCACCTCATGTCAATTCCCAGCACAGGTCCGCTAATTACTACACATCCGTCGTGCCAGTTCTTGTTCATATCGGCCATAACTGTATTTCCCTCTATTGTCTTGTGGACGGAGAATCCGGGGCCGTGTGAACGACTTTGTTCTCCTCACGAGTGACTCTTGTCTCGCTATGCTCTCAGAGTGGAGCTTATCCTTGTTCGTGTCGCTCGACTCCTCCTTTCCGCCTGGTGAAAGATTCCGCCTTTTCATCTCCAGTGACAAGCCTAGGGCGGGCTCTGTCAGATCATTGCGGCACAGATCTTTCATTTCAAAGGGCCCGCCTACTGCGATGGGAGGCGAATTGGCCGTAGGAAAGCTGCTAACCAATCGCTGTTGAATATCCTCTTCAGGGGGAGACGTTTGCAGCAAAAGTCAGCCTCCCCAACATGGCCGTCACCGATTTTCTACAGCGTTCACTGAGCTGTTCTACTTGTCCCTCAGGTGATGTCGCTCATGTCACAGGTCGGGGTCGGGGACAGACCAGGTGGATTCAGACTCGACGATGTTGCTGGCATAGAAAACAAGCTTTTCTTTTGACTCGTTCAACCTCCTAGCAGAAGTGACAGACTAGTGTACTCAGATAACTAAGAAAGACTATTCTCGGCGAGTCTATTGTGGCGATCATGCATGGTACATAACCTGGTGCGGTCTGTGAAACTCTAGAAGTTTCCGTACGCCCCTATCGCCAATCAGAAGTCATTCCTTTGAGTTGTTGCACTTGTAGCTACTATGGCACACTGTGAGCTGTAGTGTTGCAATTTCATGCAGAAGTCATTTGGATAACGGTGGAATCGGTGTGTTTCTTCGATATCGCAGGCACGCGGCTACGACACGGATAACTGCAGTTTCCACCCGACGTAAATAATTCTTTATCTATGACCAGGAGACTTGCGATGTTTGTGTGCCGCGGTTGTCTGCAACTCGCTGTCGTGTTGTGTTCTGACTTTGTGTGGATTCCATGTTCTTACGTGCAGTGGTAATGTTCTGTTTACCAACATTCTACCACAGAGTCAACCATTACTACATTGGTGAATGTTGTTGGAGCCTATCTTTTTCAGAGACCATCTGTGTATCACTGCGGTGAGATTTCTAGTCCTGACAACACTGGCACACTGGAGTCTCAAAATCACGGTTCTGTTTGAATTCTTGGGTATATTCCTAGTGACGTAGACCTTGCATATATTCGCGAATGACAATTTCATGTCATTGCTGTGATGTTTCGGTTGATGCTGACAACTTGAAAGTTTTAGATGTTCGTCTGTTCAATCACATGTATTCATTCATGTGGTGGTAGTTTAACATGTGCTCACGTTATTCTGGCCATGTCTAGTTAAATATGATCATGTTTTAAAGTTATTCCCGTGATTGTGCAGTAAGTTCTGTTTGAGATACCCTTGAAACAATCTGAGGAATTTGGACTGGACAGTCCATCCCAAGAAAAACATAAAAGTCAGCCGTTTGTGGAAAGTCTAGATATCGTCTGCAGTTACCTCACTGTTATCCTTGACATCCCCTCGAAACTGGTCTTTAGCTTTGATACTGGTTATCGGAGCATGATGGACACTGTGTGCATGCGGTCAAGCAATACCTGTGTGGGGACTAGGGACTCCTCGCTACTTCTTTCACCTGAGATGGCTGGCAGTAGTTCCACTCTGACTAAATTATCACCACAAGCCAGCACCATCAACTCATCAACGTCACCAAAACAGAACAGCAACAACAACAATCATAACAACACAGTGAATAATAACAAAAGCACAAACATCAGCAACAATAGCAACAGCAGCAGCTCAAAGCCATCGTCCCCAGCCGCTACCGGAAACTCGGAGCTGTCCGGCAAGAACTTGTCCTTCTCCCCCGAGCAGGTGGCCTGTGTCTGCGAGGCCCTGCAACAGAAGAACGACATTGACCGCTTGTCCAGGTTCTTGTGGTCGCTACCGCCCAGCGAACTGCTCAGGGGCAGCGAAGCTGTTCTCAAAGCCAGAGCTACAGTGGCTTTTCACCGAGAGAACTACCGCGAGCTCTACTCTATTCTAGAGAGCCACACCTTTGACAGCTCCAATCACGCATTCCTCCAACAGCTCTGGTATAAGGCCCATTATCTAGAGGCCCAGAAAATTCGAGGCCGACCTCTAGGGGCCGTGGATAAATACAGACTTCGGCGGAAGTACCCCTTGCCCAAGACCATCTGGGATGGCGAAGAAACCATCTATTGCTTCAAGGAGAAGTCCCGTCAAGCGCTGAAGGATTGCTACAAGCAGAACAGGTACCCGACGCCGGACGAGAAACGGAATCTAGCTAAAAAGACTGGCCTGACACTGACCCAGGTCAGTAACTGGTTCAAGAACAGACGACAAAGAGATCGGACCCCTCACTCAATACCGCACATGCAGTAAGTGATTTGACTTCAATGTATGCTTTGTTCATTTATTAACTCTTAGAGAGCGGGATAATTATCAAACTGTTTGAGCTGACACCGTAGACGCGGAAATCTAGGGGTTTGTGCCCCCTAATACCCCCCCCCCCCCACACACACAAAAACGCTGATGTTTTCTATGTGCCAGCTAGTCTGCCGGGCACATACTGCTAGTTGTTCAGTTAGTTGGTGTTTTTTTTAAATCAGTGTTCATCAATGCGTGGGCAGTGAAACCATTTAGCCTGTTTTAGTCAGTCGTGGGTGTAACAAGTTTGACAAACGCCGATTAACAGGAAGTTGCAGAACCAACTCCAGCTTTTGATAGCTGTTTTCGTAAGCAATTTTACCTTCACAAGTTTGCCATTGCTATCTCAGCGGTCAGCTATCGATTGCTTTCTTTACACCTTTCAGTTTCTCTAGACGATAGTGTTATGTTGCGCTATGAGGTGGCATGAGACTCACAGCCCATGGCGATGGCGATGGCGAGTGTGACTAGCAAGACCTGCCCGTGTCAAGAAAAATCTTCCACAATGATAGCATGGGATTTCAGGACAATTGTTGTCAACATTTGTGTTTAATCCGTTTTTTCTCATACGCTCAGCTCTCATCCTTTCTGCAATCATTTCTTCATTCATTCTCATTCCTTTCCTAAAGTACCTCCTCCACACATTACGTCTATCTGTGTATCTCTCTCGCTCTTTGCCTGCTGATCTGTTGATCTCCATGTGTCTTCTCCTTGAATGTCTGTCTCTCTCCCTCTATGTCTGTCTTTTTTTTAAACCCCACCCCCCCCCCCCACACCCTTTCCTCAACCATCCTGCAACCGCACATTTTTATAACAGAGGAGAAAGTGGTCAAAAATTATTGATCTTGTTTGTTTAATGGGTCGCAACTGGGCACACAGGTCACAACTGGACACACGGGTCACAACTGGACACACGGGTCACAACTGGACACACGGGTCACAACTGGACACACGGGTCACAACTGGGCACACGAGTCACAATTGGACACACGAGCCACAACTGGGCACACGGGTCACAACTGGGCACACGGGTCACAACTGGACACGCGGGTCACAACTGGACACACGGGTCACAACTGGGCACACGGGTCACGAATGGACACACGGGTCACAACTGGACACACGGGTCACAACTGGGCACCCAGACAGGTCTGATATTCGGCCTCTTCTGCTGGCTTATCTTTCGCGCTGCAATTCATGACCTATATAACAGAAACTACGCTATGTTCATGTACCTAATATCAATACTAATTGAAAACACAGAACGATATAAGTAGTAGTAAGAGAACGAGAAAACTGTTGAAAGGTGAGAGGGAGAAGAAGAAGAAGAAGAAGAAGAAGAAGAACAACAACAACAACAACAACAACAACAACAACAACAACAACAACAACAACAACAAACAACAAACAACAACAAACAACAATAACCAACAAAAACAACAACAAAAATAACAAAAACGACAAGAAGCAACGGTCAGGAATAAGAATTAGAACAAGAACAGAAATAATTTCAAAAACTGTAAACAACAAAAGACCCTATTTGAAAAAGAAAAAAAAAATCCTTAACCAACTGGTTGCTCCCAGTTTAATGTTTCTAACATACAGAAAACATACAATAACAGTGAACCCGACAATGGCACTTGGACAACCTGTAGCAGGAGCAACGTACATAAAGTGAAGAATACAACCCAATACAAAATAATATAATAGACATCCTCTGCAGTCAATGTGGTTCATGAACAGACACAGGAACTATGGCTAACTTTCACAAAACACTTTCACAAAACACTTTCACAAAACACTTTCACAAAACACTTTCACAAAACACTTTCACAAAACACTTTCACAAAACACTTCCACAAAACACTTTTACAAAACACTTTCACAAAACACTTTCACAAAACACTTTCACAAAACACTTCCACAAAACACTTCCACAAAACACTTCCACAAAACACTTTCACAAAACACTTCCACAAAACACTTTCACAAAACACTTCCACAAAACACTTTCACAAAACACTTTCACAAAAAACTTTCACAAGCTAAAACGACAGTTGTGAAACCAGAAGAAATACTAGGGAACGAAATGAGCAGAATATAAGTTCAGAGAGGCTATCACTCACTACCGTCGTGGTGGTGTAGTTAGTGCTCTCGCTTCACAGGACAATAGTCCCACTTTATTTCCAATCTGCATTGGTATCAATCCACCATCAGTTAGCGATGTGGGTCGGTGCTGTGGGTCGGTGATGTGGATCAGTGATGTGCCTCGGTGCTGGGTCGGTGCTGTGGGTCGGTGCTGGGTTTCCGTGCTGTAGCTCTGTGCTGTGGGTCTGTCCTGTGGCTCGGTGATGTCAGGACTGTGGGTTGAGGACGGGTGTCGGCCTTAAATTCAATAGGATCGCAGCTGTTTCTGTGTGCCTATTATTTCATTCTCTTTCCCTTTTTTCCCTCTCCTTTCTATGCCCCCCCCCCACCCCCAATCACTTCTTTCTCTTCCCCTCCCAACCCTTTCCTCTTCCCTATTATGTTGCCTCATCATACTCAAGCGGCAGTTTTAACAGTTACAACATTTTTTTTTTACAGACAAATGGAAAATAAAAAAAAAGTCATACCAACTGGTGACAAGGTTTACCAACTAGTGATTTACTAACTGGTGACAAGATTTACTTACTGGTGACAAGATTTACTAACTGGTGACAAGTTTTACCAAATGTGACAAGACTTACCAACTGGTGACAGGTTTTACCAACTGGTGACAAGTTTTACCAACTGGTGACAAGATTTACTAACTGGTGACAAGTTTTACCAACTGTGACAAGTCTTAGCAACTGGTGACAGGTTTTACCAACTTGTGACAAGTTTTACTAACTGGTGACAGGTTTTACCAACTGGTGACAAGTTTTGCTAACTGGTGACAAGTTTTGCCAACTGGTGACAAGTTTACTAACTGGTGACAAGATTTACCAACTGGTGACAAGTTTTACCAACTGGTGACAAGTACTACCAACTGGTGACAGGTTTTGCCAACTGGTGACAAGTCTTACCAACTGGTGACAAGTTTTGCCAACTGGTGACAAGTCTTTCCAACTGGTGACAAGTTTTACCAACTGGTGACAAGATTTACTAACTGGTGACAAGTTTTACCAACTGTGACAAGTCTTAGCAACTGGTGACAGGTTTTACCAACTTGTGACAAGTTTTACTAACTGGTGACAGGTTTTACCAACTGGTGACAAGTTTTGCTAAATGGTGACAAGTTTTACTAACTGGTGACAAGTTTTACCAACTGGTGACAAGTTTTACCAACTGGTGACAAGTATTACCAACTGGTGACAAGTTTTGCCAACTGGTGACAAGTTTACTAACTGGTGACAAGTTTTACCAACTGATGACAAGTTTTACCAACTGGTGACAAGTACTACCAACTGGTGACAGGTTTTGCCAACTGGTGACAAGTCTTACCAACTGGTGACAAGTTTTGCCAACTGGTGACAAGTCTTTCCAACTGGTGACAAATTTTGCCAACTGGTGACAAGTCTTTCTAACTGGTGACAAGTTTTACCAACTGGTGACAAGTCTTACCAACTGGTGACAAGTTTTACCAACTGGTGACAAGTTTTACCAACTGGTGACAAGTCTTACCAAATTATGACAAGTTCTACTAACTGGTGACAAGTTTTACCACCTAGTGACAAGTTTTACTAACTAATGACAAGTTTTACCAACTGGTGACAAGACTTACCAACTCGTGACAGGTTTTACCAACTGGTGACAAGTTTTACCAACTGGTGACAAGACTTACCAACTCGTGACAGGTTTTACCAACTGGTGACAAGTTTTACCAACTGGTGACAAGACTTACCAACTGGTGACAGGTTTTACCAACTGGTGACAAATCTTACCAACTGGTGACACGATTTACTAACTGGTGACAAGTTTTACCAACTGGTGACAAGACTTACCAACTGGTGACAGGTTTTACCAACTGGTGACAAGTTTTACTAACTGGTGACGTGTTTTACCAACTGGTGACAAGTGTTACCAACTGGTGACAGGTTTTACCAACTGGTGACAGGTCTTACCAACTGGTGACAAGTGTTACCAACTGGTGACAGGTTTTACCAACTGGTGACGTGTTTTACCAACTGGTGACAAGTGTTACCAACTGGTGACAGGTTTTACCAACTGGTGACAAGTCTTACCAACTGGTGACAAGATTGACTAGCTTGTGACAAGTTTTACCAACTGGTGACAAGACTTACCAACTGGTGACAGGTTTTACCATCTGGTGACAAGATTTACTAACTGGTGACGTGTTTTACCAACTGTTGACAAGTGTTACCAACTGGTGACAGGTTTTCCCAACTGGTGACAAATTTTACCAACCGAAAAGCATTTGACAGTAAACTTTCTTAAAATGGTTTTGAGCATTTTATCTGACGAAAAGTTGTGTGAACTACGACGTATATACCGATAACATGTTTTGAGAATTATACAAGTACTAAGTTTGCTTTTTCAATCAAACAAATTAATGGCCTTAAACTATATAGGTTATATCCAACCAGTCAGTGAATGAATGAATGAATGAAACAATTAATTAATTATTGCGCAAGTCAAGAACTGGCAAAACGACCCTTACACATCTCCCACATGTCTCGTGTGTCAGTAGCCAGGCTACTTGACTCAAAGTCCACACATTGTTTCCTGAGCTACCTGACTGAGAGCCATCTATTTTTTCCTGGGCTGCCTGACTGAGAGCCATCTATTTTTTCCTGAGCTATCTTTTTAAAGTCCACCTTTTTTTCTCCTGGGCTACCGGACTAAAGTCCATCAATTTTCTCTTGGGTTACCTGACTTAAAATCCACCTATTTTCTCCTGGGCTAACTGACTCAGTCCACTTTTTGATCATTGGCTGACTAAAGGTATGTCTATCTTGTCCCTACATTT